AGATTCGCTAAAACTCAAACAAGTCTTAATCCTGTTCCAGCTCCATCATCAATATTCCGGGCGAGTCCACGCTGAGGCGAGACTTCCTGCGTCTGCAGCTGGCCAATAAGGAGCGGTCGGAGCTGATCCGGCGTCAGCAGCTGGAGCAGCAGCAGAACGAGGAGCACAAGCGCCAGCTACTGGCCGAGAGACAAAAACGTATAGAAGAGCAGAAAGAGCAGCGGCGACGGCTGGAGGAGGTAGATTTAAGACCTCAGATAATAATAATAATGACAACGATAGATTGTTACGTTACACACAGGAAGTCGATACCGATGTGACAGCACAAAAGACACAAGAGAGATTTGTCCTTCGGCTGTTTGAATCTGTGAGAAACAGATCAGAATGATTATAAAATCACTTTTCCTGCATGTGAAGCACATCACACCTGTTTGTTAGCACCTCAGCTCATCCAAACGCCAGGAAAACATGCCTGACGCACACACACACACACACACACACACGGACATGCAGACAGCTGAGGTGTTGTTGTGTAAAACGGTTTCCTCCTACAGCAACAGCGTCGCGAGCGAGAGCTGAGGAAGCAACAGGAGCGAGAGCAGAGGAGGAGGTATGAAGAGATGGAGCAGCTCCGCCGCGAGGAGGAGAGGAGGCACGCCGAGAGAGAGCAGGTACGGAAACACCTGACCGACAGGTGTCATACGAGGGGGTGTGGCTTCTCAGCACATCTCCTGTCAGTTACTCTGATGAGCGATTGAAACATGGAAACGTCACATCCGACTGCTCAAATCAGAGAAAACACCACAGAGATGATGTAAAAGGAGAATTTCACATATTGTAGATGCTGGCCTCCAGACACCAGGGGGCGCTGTAGAAAGAATTTATGGTACTTAATTTGTACATTAATCATAAATAAATGAGCTTTACAACAACTAGAACAGGGGACAGGAACATAAACTTCTTACAAAGAATAAGAGACTTAAATAAGCTCTCACTAATTATTATTAATGTCTTAGGAAACAACTCGCAGCTGTTACACGAGCAAATTTGAACCAATTGTTAAATAAACACAAATTAATTACTGTTGTAGCAACACATTCATAATAAACCAGATGGCGTTTCCCTGAAAATTCTCGGTGTTCCGACCAAATCATTGATGACTGTGCGCTCCGTCTCTCACTTTGAGCTCAGCTCTGTGTTTTATTGCTTTACACACTCAGTTAGCTGGAAGCTAAAGGAGCATTTTCCCTCATTTTACTTCTGCTTCACAGCCTGTGAGAACTCTCGTGCTGCATTATTCATGCAGGGTTTAAATGAGACCTGAATTAAAGAAATGTCCAAGCTGCATTATGGGAAATGAAGGTTTTTAATGTCTCTAGAGCTTATCCTACAGTGGGATTAAAAGTCAGCATGACTCAGCTTAAAACTACATGACTGTAAAACATCATTTTATCTAAAACATTTATGCAAAGATATATTATTGTGCAGTAAAAGGCTGTGCCAATATTTTAAACACCAACACAAATAATCCTCCTTTAATCCGTCTACAACCTTTGATGTGTGATGTGTTTAAAAATGGTAAACAGATCATTTAAAACAGTCGTGGTTAGGGATGGGTATCGTTTAGGTTTTATCCGATACCGGTGCCAAACCGGTACTTTTGAAACGGTGCCGGTGCTTAAAGAAT